AAAATTTTAACTTTCAAACTTGGTTAACAAGTTCACATATTCATCACTTGGACTTATCAGGTGCCATGACTAAAGAATAGAATCTCTATATACATGTAAGATATATATCCATTAAACTAAATAAAGTTATTATTGAAAAACGCTTCTAAGCGTGTCTCAGCAGAATAAGATGAACTCTAGGCAAAAAAATTCATCAAAGGTGATTCTAAATAAAACTTTATTATTAAACAAACAAAGAAATCAAAAATATTTAACAAAATTTTATCCACATTTGAGAGATTTGATGGCGGTAACCATGGGAGAAATGGCGGCTTGGATTTTGTCGTAATTATCCACCGAAAAAACATGCTGAGTATCAGTTGTTATAGGTGCACTACCATCTCTAGATTGACCTATTGGTTTAGTTACACTACTCTCTCTAGATTGATCTAGTGGTTTAGTTACACTACTCTCTCTCTAGATTGATCTAGTGGTTTAGTTACACTACTCTCTCTAAATTGATCTAGTGGTTCAGTTACACTACTCTCTCTAGATTGATCTAGTGGTTTAGTTACACTACTCTCTCTAGATTGATCTAGTGGTTCAGTTACACTACCCTCTCTAGATTGATCTAGTGGTTTAGTTACACTACTCTCTCTAGATTGATCTAGTGGTTTAGTTACACTACTCTCTCTAAATTGATCTAGTGGTTCAGTTACACTACTCTCTCTAGATTGATCTAGTGGTTTAGTTACACTACTCTCTCTAGATTGATCTAGTGGTTCAGTTACACTACTCTCTCTAGATTGATCTAGTGTTCCACTACCCTCTCTAGATTGATCTAGTGGTTTAGTTACAGTTGATATAGTTCCACTACCCTCTCTAGATTGATCTAGTGGTTTAAATACAGTTGTTAAAGGTTGTTCACATAATATTGATGGGGGGTATATTTAGATAAAGCTCCCTCAAAATAAACTCGTCTCTCTATAGATACTGCTCTATTTTCAATTGACATAGGTCCACAACCATCTCTAGATTGATCTAGTGGTTTAGTTACAGTTGTTATAGGTCCACTACTTTCTCTAGACTGATCTAGTGGTCTATTTTCAATTGATGTAAGTCCACTTCCCTCTCTATATTGGTCTAGTCGTCTATTTTCAAATGATGTAGGCCTACTACCCTTTCTAGATTGATCTAGAGGTTTAGTTACTGTAGATATAGGTCCACTACCTTTTCTAGATTGATCTAGTGGTTTAGTTACAGTAGATATATGTCCACTGCCCTTTCTATATTGATCTAGTGGTTTAGTTACAGTTGTTATAGGTCCACTACTTTCTCTAGACTGATCTAGTAGTCTATTTGCAATTGATGTAGGCCCACTTCCCTCTCTAGATTGATCTAGTGGTTTAGTTACAGTTGATGTAGGTCTACTACCCTCTCTAGATTGATCTAGTGGTTTAGTTACAGTTCTTATATGTCCACCACCCTCTCTAGATTGATCTAGTGGTTTAGTTACAGTTGATATAGTTCCAGTACCCTCTCTAGATTGATCTTGTGGTCTAGTTACAGTTGGTATAGTTCCACTACCATCTCTAGATTGATCTAGTGGTTTAGTTACAGTTGGTATAGTTCCACTACCCTCTCTAGATTGACCTAGTGGTTTAGTTACAGTAGATATAGGTCCACTACCCTCTCTAGATTTGTCTAGTGGTTCAGTTACAGTTTTTATAGTTCCACTACCCTCTCTAGATTGACCTAGTGGTTTAGTTACAGTTGATCCCAGAATATCACTAATATTACCTATACCACGCCCGTCTTTCCATGCCATATACGTCACTGGGGGAATATCAATCTTCGTGTTTTCACAGAGTTTCTGTAAATCTTGGAGTTTAATCAGTGAATATATAAGAGATAAAGAGTCCTCTGTTGTAGTAGGACAGGATGAATCTAATACAGTTTTGATATTTTCTCTTTGGTTCATAACTTTCTGTCGGATTTCTGTTAGTTTTGATTCATTCTGGTTAAAATTATCTCGAGTTTCATTTTGGTATTTTTCACAATTTGTTTTCAATTCACCAATAATTTTCTCAGTTTTTTCTTCGATTTTGGTACAGACATCATCACAAAAAGATTTAAGTTTTTTAGATGTTTCTACCAATATTGCATGGGTATTTTCCAAGTCTTTGATTTTGTCTTTCATAATATGTCCAGAATTTACAAGTTTTTGGACTATCATTTCTCTTGTAGAATCACATTCTAAATCTAATGTTTTATGATTGTTATGATCTTTTAAAATACATTTAGAACACAATCCTAAATTACAAGATAGACAATAATATTCTACCTCCTTCTTACTGTGATTTGGACAAGGATGTTTTGGTTTAAGACTGTTTGTTTGTTCCGTCGAGGTTTGTAAACCGACATTTGTAATAAAATGGTTGACGCCACCTCGTGGAATTTCAACAACCTGTTTACAATATGGACATGGAAATGTCTCCTCTCTGCAATCAGTATATCTTACCAAACACTCGAGACAAAACGAATGTCCACAAGGAACGATTTTTGGAGTCTTGAAACTTCCTAAACAAATGGAACATTCTAGATTAGGATATTTTGTTAAAGCAGTCGCCATAATAAATTCTTCAAAATCTTCCCTAGAAATATTGAAATATAGTTCTATATACCTTCCACAGACAAACAGAATGATTTCACTATGTTATGGTATATCATCTTTCACTAGAAATATTGAAATATAGTTTATATATACCTTCCACAGACAAACAGAATGATTTCACTATGTTATGGTATATTATCTTTCTCTAGAAATATTGAAATATAGTTCTATATACCTTCCACAGACAAACAAAATGATTTCACTATGTTATGGTATATTATCTTTCTCTAGAAATATTGAAATATAGTTCTATATACCTTCCACAGATAAACAGGATGATTTCACTATGTTATGGTATATTATCTTTCTCTAGAAATATTGAAATATAGTTCTATATACCTTCCACAGACAAACAGAATGATTTCACTATGTTATGGTATATTATCTTTCTCTAGAAATATTGAAATATAGTCATATATACCTTCCACAGACAAACAGAATGATTTCATTATGTTATGGTATATTATCTTTCTCTAGAAATATTGAAATATAGTTCTATATACCTTCCACAGACAAACAAAATGATTTCACTATGTTATGGTATATTATCTTTCTCTAGAAATATTGAAATATAGTTCTATATACCTTCCACAGACAAACAAAATGATTTCACTATGTTATGGTATATTATCTTTCTCTAGAAATATTGAAATATAGTTCTATATACCTTCCACATACAAACAGAATGATTTCACTATGTTATGGTATATTATCTTTCTCTAGAAATATTGAAATATAGTTCTATATACCTTCCACAGACAAACAGAATGATTCTACTATGTTATGGTATATTATCTTTCACTAGAAATATTGAAATATAGTTCTATATACCTTCCACAGACAAACAAAATGATTTCACTATGTTATGGTATATTATCTTTCTTTAGAAATATTGAAATATAGTTCTATATACCTTCCACAGACAAACAGAATGATTTCACTGTGTTATGGTATATTATCTTTCACTAGAAATATTGAAATATAGTTCTATATACCTTCCACAGACAAACAAAATGATTTCACTATGTTATGGTATATTATCTTTCTTTAGAAATATTGAAATATAGTTCTATATACCTTCCACAGACAAACAGAATGATTTCACTATGTTATGGTATATTATCTGTCTTTAGAAATATTGAAATATAGTTCTATATACCTTCCACAGACAAACAGAATGATTTCACTATGTTATGGTATATTATCTTTCACTAGAAATATTGAAATATAGTTCTATATACCTTCCACATACAAACAGAATGATTTCATTATGTTATGGTATATTATCTTTCTCTAGAAATATTGAAATATAGTTCTATATACCTTCCACAGATAAACAGAATGATTTCACTATGTTATGGTATATTATCTTTCTCTAGAAATATTGAAATATAGTTCTGTATACTTTCCACAGACAAAAAATTAAGATGGCTACCGGTAAGTAAAATATTTCAGGTGACGAGAGCGTGTATTGGATTATTATCTACCGGATTATTTACAAGATTAATAAACTCAAGACCAAAATATACTTTACCACTTACTAAACTAAACAAAAGATACATGCATATGGCAAGTTCGGCCCTAATCTACATTGCCCAAACGAAAAAGACGTGTGTACGAATTTGTCTAATATTTGCCCATTGAGGCAAATTGCATGATCCTTGAATACAAAAAATACATGTGCTCTGAGGGTAAAAAAATCACACAAAAATAATGCCACGACTGACACAGCAGCAACACGAGCAAATTATGGGAAAGCCACAATGCAAAAACTTTTCCCGTGTTACTGTAATAAACTTTATGCAACGTTACAGACAGACAGGGCAGATGACAGACAGGCCTAGAACGGAGAGAACCAGGGTGACCAAACCAAGTGATGACTTGTATGTTCGTACCTTGCTCTGTGGAATCTCTTTCTGACAGTGACATCATCAGCAAGTTGATCACAATGTCAAAGTGTCAAAGGAAGTGCAAAGGCGCATGGAGCATATAAAAGGGTTTTTCCTAGAAAATTTTCGAAAATGGAATTGATTTGGTTTTTGCTGACACATATTTTGGGCTAGAACATAACGAAATTTTTAAGAAATAGAATTTAGGTACAATTTGGGTTCATTTTTCTAGGGGGAGTAGGGGAGGGGGTGGCAAATGAATCTTTTTTATCCTAAATTGAGTTGACATTGATAAGGTCGTACAAGTATCTATCTCGATTTAGGGAAAATGAAACCGATAACATATTTATACAGAAACTGATATCTATAATCCAGATAAAATTTAATTGAAAGTTTATTTAAAGGGACAGGTTCGTCATTTTTTTACCAATCGTACCTTAGTCTCAGAAAAGGATTTTTTGGGCTTAGCTAAAAGTGTTAATAGATTCTGTGTCCAGAATTTTCTGAAAGTTAATATCACGACTCGTCTTTTCTGGACACTCGACCATATCAATGGAAATAAATTCCTAGTTTGGGGTAATTTTGAAGAAATCATGCTATTTTCGTTTAGTTCCATTACTTCTGAAGACTATTTACATATTTTCAAGACTCAAATTAACCCCCAAAATGGCGAGTCTGTTCCTTTTATGGCCAAGCATTTAAATTATAATTGAGTTTCCGTCAATGGACCGTAACCACACTCTTACTTCGAAATAACACACACGAGTTCGGTTATTGAAAAACGCTTCTAAGCGTGTGTCAGCAGAATAAGACGAGCCTTTGGCAAAAAATTCATCAAAGGTGATTCTAAATAAAACTTTATTATAAAACAAACAAAGAAATCAAAAATATTTAACAAAATTTTATCCACATTTGAGAGATTTGATGGCGGTAACCATGGGAGAAATGGCGGCTTGGAGTTTGTCGTAATTATCCACCGCAAAAACATGCTGAGGAAACATTTCGGTGTCACCGCGAATTCGTAACAATCTCTCTAAAATTCGTTTATTCACTTCCGTTCCGACTACGACCACGAATGTATCCATATGCTTAAAGCGAGCTCTCAAAACTTCTTTGCTGGAACTTGCCAAGTCGCCAATACTTGTATCAATGACCAAAACGCTCATAGCTTTACCAGGATTCTTTACAAACGGAAGTGACGCAGGTGACGCCATGCGCATGTTCCGTAACAAAGGGGCGTAATTCTTGCCTCTCCTCGTTCTGCCTTGTTTGATTGGACAGTTATTAATGATCTGGGCGGAGCGAACTTTAAAAAGTTCATCTTGAAGTTTATCATTAGCAAGTGTGAAAAACGACATGATCCGTTTAGTTATTCTGGTGCTAGCGCTACTGACATCCGCGCCATAGACAATATTTATAGAACAGGGTAGTCGACCTAAAAAACAGAAATATTGCAAGTAAGAGTAAGCAATAATCAAACGAGATTAATAATGTCATTTGAAAGGCCTTAAAGATGGGTTCCCTTATTTTCATTTATGAAAATGAAAATGCTAATAATTTTATGAAAAGAAAGTAGAGGTGTTCTTATGACTTGAAAAAATACCAGTTTGTCTCAAAAGTCTTAATTAATTCATAATTAGAAGAGAATTACCAGTAGAATTCCAATGAGTGACCGATCAAGAAAGGTCGGTCAAAAAGTCTTTTTTTGTTTATTCAGACTGTACAAACACATTTATGATTGGATAAAACTTTTAGTTATGTGCAATAAGAACATAATTCGCACCGTTATTGTAGCGATAAGCAACACAACGGCGTAACCAGTATACATAATATTATGAGTATGACGTCGCCATTTTTTCAATGGATGACGTAATTTGCGTTATGAACCTCGCTTTCGGTGTCTCAATAAACGAGACGCGAATAAGATCTATGGTGGTTTACAATGGTCTGAATGCATATAAAATGTGTTACCTCCCTTCCATGATTAAAACTGAAGGAAATATGGAGGATAATAAAATTAAGACAGTACCTTGAAAGAATGTATCTGTATCGAGAATATCTTGTTGAACTATTGTCTCTATATACACAACTACAAAATATACATTTTCAGAATAAATGCTTTGAAAATATTTAAACAACATAAATGTACAAAGAATTTACATTATCACTTACAGTTTTAGGGAATCCCGGTGAATCTATGTTTAACCTAAGTTTGACCAAGAACCAGATGGTAGAAAAGATCTTCGAGAAGCTAAGTTGTTATCCATGTGAAATTATAGCCAACAAGTTTGTCGATGGATCATCTGGTCGGCATGATCCTTGAGAAGGCAAGTTGCTGTCTTTGTAAAATTATTGCAAAAAGGTTTGGCCACGACCCAGCAAATTGACTGGCAGGCGGGATCTTCTTTCCTTATGAAACTAAGTTGTCATCCTGGCAAGATGTGTTTGGACAAACATCATCTGGTGGACAGGATCCTAGAGAAATTAAGTTGTTATCCTTGTTTTCTCTTCAAAGTCAACGGAGAAGTAAATGGTGCCAAACTGGATTCCACTACAATCGGCCACTCACCTTCACAAGTTTTGAGAGCGAGTGTTTTCTTGACGGATTCCAAGGCGTCGAAATCAGACACATGGAAGGCGTGGATTTCGTCGGGATTTGTGGCGATGTCATTAAGCTCCTGTTCATCTACTGCCGGTCCTATCCCGACCACAAACACCGTCACCCCATCGAGATGGAGCTCCTTAGCTTCTCTAGCTGTCTTATCAGGATAGTTAGAAAGCCCGTCTGTAAGGATGATGGCGATTCGAGGCACCCCCTGTCGTTTGTTGTCTTTGGTGAAAACCTTTTGACGTAGATAAGACAAAGCTTCAGCTGTGTTGGTTCGCCCACCTCGATAGCTGTAGAGAGACAATATACCCAATAATTGTAGGAGTAAGAGACGGGGTGGGACCGCAGTGGTTCACTGCTTTGATTAATTTTGAATTAAATACAGTTGAACGTTTCATTTCTATGGTTTAGATGCACAACGCCTTGTAGTATGTAAAAAGGAAAGGTTTGATAGTGTCATTGGCTCATTCTTTTAATGCCTGTAGCCTGTAGCAAACTAAGCCTTTACTTATTGCACCATCTTTACAATTTCGTGCTCTTTTCCATATCAAGCCTTAGGAAGTGCATAATGTGGCAGACGGGGAGGGACGCGTTAGAAACTTAAAAAAAAAACATTTTTGGGACCTATGCTGGGGTGCGATATATGACCTATATATAGGTCAGAATCCTTAGTAAATCTCTCAAATTACTTTGATGCAATTAAACCGCTCCCCGTATCAGGGTAATCTGCATACATTAACGACGCTTTACTGTGTTCTGATTCTTAGAATATGTGTTACCTCCCTTTTAAGGTTTATAAAACAACGAAAGAAGATAATTACCAGACATTAATCTTCAATTTAGTAGCTTACCTTATATTACCAATACGATCCACGATATGTCCCTTACTGTTATAATCATCTAGACTGAACTGGGGGTAAACGGTGGTACTGAACAGGGCCACACCCACTTTAGTCCTCTCTCGTCCAATATCGAATATCTTGACCACATCTTGGGTAAATTTCAGCTGTTTATCAAAATCTGTTAGTTCAATACTAGATGAGGTGTCCAATAGAAACATAATATCAGCTGAATAGCCGCCACATTCTGAAAATAAAGGTGCTTGTGCTTGTTATATAATATGATACTTTCGACGCGTGTTTTGGATGCAAAATTCTCATCAGGACAGCTTATTAAGGAAATGAAGATCAATTCTACCGACACGTTTTCGGTACAAAATCGTGGCTTCTTAGATATGCGACGGCTACTTTTCGAAAATTCCGTAAAATAAACAGTCAGCAAATATTTGGGACCTCTATGCCTAAAAATGCCGCTGTCTGTAATTGTTTCTGGACATAATGTGAGAAAGGTTCTCATTTCATCTTTTTTTTACCTGTTGAAAAGAAGTCCTAGTGTAAATGTAATAGATGTTTTAAAAGACTACGTTATGAATTTTTTTTTTAGATTCTTACCTGTCGACGTCTGTCCGTTTATCTGAAAATATATTCAAAGAGTTAATAAAATACAAAGATTTCAATCCCGGCATAGGTCGGGATAATACCTTTGGATTTTTCAACCCGGTTTCCCCCTGTCAGTTATGCAGGTAAGAGAGGCGGACATTGAAAATGCGTCTAGTTGTTCGGATGGGAAAATAAACCGAGGCACCGTATGCGACAGGCTGTGTACGTTAAAGATCCCTTGACAGTTGGAAATCGAAAAAGAGCAGACTAATGCCGTTGTCCTGGCAAAATTTCCCTCATTGCACCCTGCATGGCGTTTCCCCTGTTCATTAGCCCACAAGGTGCAGAAAAGTAGGACGTAAAACTCCAATTCATTTCATTTCATTTCTCAGATGTTTCAGATACACAATCTTCACCAGGACAGCTAGTTGTGGAAATGTGATTTACCTAATCGATTTAGAACTTTTTGTGTATGAGTATAGCAAGCATAGTAATCAAACTCGTCGAGCTCACTTATATCTGTTCAATGTTCACTGGTATTTCTATGTTTAACGGATAGATTTAAAAAACAAACACTATACCAGATCATGACGTCATTATTGCTAATGTCATTCGATTTTAATTCAAAAAAATTAACTCACCACTGTTAAAGAAAGTAGAAAGCAGACAATGCTGAAAATGGTACCACTATCTGAAGCCGACATGTTGAAGAGTGACGTGGGTTCCAGTACATGTCAACTACAATGTAAACTAAAATGATATTAACAGTAGATTACTCAGCATCCAATTAAAAAATTTGTAGTTGACATTTTACTCTTTCCATTTAAACAGTGGGATATTAAAGGTATAATTACTATTATTATTATTCCACACCGATAATCTGGCACTTATGGTCGTGTTTGAAACCACGCCCACTTATCAATAATTAAATGGTACCGTGTTCACTTTATCCAAAAAGCTGAGGCGATATTTTTAACCAATCATTGCGACCGTTTTCGTTTTGGTTGCCCATAATCAATATTTACGAGTTTTGTGCTTGTGATTATATTTACAAAACATACAGTGTGTAGACGTTTCTTGATTGGCCGGTTTGAAAATCAAGTGACATCATACTATCAGAGGCAACATACTATTATGAATTTGCTAATCTAATCAAACAATGTGTTAATACATATCTTTTTTTACCGATTTCTCGTTTTCGCCTTATCCAGGGTTCAATACATAGGACGATAATACCTTCGGATTTTTCAACCCGGTTTTCCCCTGTCAGTGATGCAGATAAGAGGGGCTGATATGGAAAAAGTGTCTCGTCGTTCAGATGGGACAATAAACCAAGGCCCCGTGTGCATCAGGCTGTGCACGTTAAAGATTCCTCGACAGTTGGAAATCGAAAAAGAGCAGGCTTTCCTGGCAAAATTTCCCTCATTGCACTCTGCATGGAGTTGCTCGTCTTCAATAGCCCACATGGTGCAGTAGGACGTAAAACTCCATTCATTTCATTTCGTTTTCGCTTTACGGGTCGTTTGGAACTTCGTAATCTATGTTAGTAATTATTCCAATAGATGTCGTTATAACCCATCTAAAGAGGGATTGCTCGAGTTAGAGATGTTTTATCAAACCATCTCTCATCATCATCATGATGTAATTATGATTAAATGTTAATTAGACAATTACTCGACATTTTACTGCTAATTTATGATAATTAATGAAAGAATAATTGGGATTTATTGTCGCCTGTTTGATGACGAAGCCTGATAAAGACTAATATCTACATAACTAACAGTTTCTGACATTCTCTAAGTTTAATATGCACCGATTAATATCATGTATTGTTAGTGTGACCCTTCCTTAAAGGCATATACTCGTCTAAGAATGAGTATTACCAGTCAATTTAAAGTAACTGTAAAGAGGTTTTCTAAATGTCTGCCAGTTGATTTATAAACTAAATTCCAGCTATTTTTAAAATGATAATGAAGGAAATATATTCCAACCTATTGATATTTTAATATTCCAGGACAGTTCTTAATAATAGATTCAGGATTAAAATTTCCAACCTCCATCATTGCTTCCTGAGAAGTGTGAATGTCATTCTCTTGGATCTTTGAATGAGCCAGTTGGAATCGTCACACAGAATGGAATTTGTTGACGTCATGTCATCTCATAATATGATGACGTTACTTGAAGTAGAAATATGATAAAGTCACTTAAAGTAGGATTTTGATGACGTCACTTAAAGGAATTTCATGACGTCACCTAAAGTAGGAATTTGATGACGTCACGCTGTGTGGAATTTCTTGACGTCACGTGGCGTGGAACTAACATCACATAGTGTGGGATATCAGAACGTCATAGAGTTGACGTCAGATCGCTTTGAAGTGAGAGAAGTTGTTTTGGATATGGTATATAAAGTGGCGAGGTTCATGAATCTGTACAGAATTAAGTGAAACTCAATTTCAATAAGTTAAACACAACAGGTAAGATAATGTCAATTTGTAACGGACAGCATTATTACCGTTACACAATATGTCCAGTCGTAAATCTATGATGATTTTGACAATATTTGACAGTGTTAACACGTCATAGACATAGCCTAGGGCAATGGCGGGTCAGAGTTCATGCTTGATTATGAATCGCACCGATGTAGCCAATGGTTCTGTAACTTGAATGCAATATTCTCCGATATTTAGACAATTCCGAAAAAAATAAAATGACGTAACATCAGAATAAAAAAGCTCCTTGTGGTCGGATTTTGTTTTTAAGAAGCCAAATTGGCAGCTAAATATGAGTAAAAGAGGTCATATCTAGCAAATATCATTCCATAATACGTATACCCTCTACAACCTCTATGTTGGCTTAATGTGCATGATGTGCTACACGGCCCTCTGACAATAGAAAAAAAGAGGAGTGGGATCTAGACGTGTACTGGATAATATTTTGAATAATATCAAGGTCTAAACATCGTTGGCTCAAACTCCCTAAATAAGATAGTTTCCTTTTGACTGAAAGTGTCCTCTTGTTTGTTCGGAATAATATATTATTATGAAACGTGATCGTCATAATTAGAGTCATGTACATTGTATCCGTTGTAATACAACCTAGCACCATGTAAACATTGTTGTAAAATGTAGTACAATGAAATACAATGTTGTAGTCAATATTACAACGACAGGTATATAAAGACAATATATATCAAGATGTAACAATCGAAGATGATGTAATTCGGATCATTAGTTATTGATGAGGCGACGATGATCGATGACAAACTGACCAATATGACGTATTACTATTGATGAAAAATCGAACTATAGATCCCAAACAGATTTCAAGAATCATAATTACTTTAAACAACAGACTGACAAACCGTGTGCACTCTACAAAACTAGAAATTTCAACACTAGGACTATTTTTTTATAAGCAACAAGATTTAAATAATATATGAGGTAAGAACTCACTGTTGGTTTTAAAAAATGAAAAAAAAAATGCAATCTCTATTTCCTACTTTAACTGCAGGTACAAATCATAATGACTGGAAAAATTAGGTTGTTTAAAGGTCTTTCGTTTGATACGACATTCGGTTGTTAAAGACGTTTTGTTTGATACAACATTCGGTTGTTAACGGTTTTTTTTTATTCAGCGTTCGGTTTAAATCCAAAATGTAAGTGATTAAGTCCCGATTGAGTCCAAGAAGACGAATTGTATCGATGGTTCAAGCTGTATACTCCTACGATTGTCTGTCTACAGATTGTGTTTTTATATTTGTAGAAGACAGTGATGAAAATAGGAAGATGTCGCTTACTGTTAATAAATACTATAATGTTAGTTGGTATCCTGGATTCTGTTCTAGCTCAGAGGCGTAATGGTAAGTACAAGACTTCTTCCTTATTGGATGGTTTGGTGGTTGTTGGGAGACGACAGGTTAACGTTCACTTCCAGGGGAGGCTGATATCGGAAACATGGTTGTTGTTGGTAGACGACAGGCTAACGTTCGCTTCCAGGGGAGGCTGATATCGGAAACTAGGTAGTAGATGGAAGATGACAGGTTAGCGTTCGCTTCCAACGGATGCTGATATCGCAAACTAGGTAGTTGTTGGTAGACGACGGGTTAACGTTCGCTTCCAGTGCGTGCCGATATCCCAAACTAGGTAGTTGTTGGTAGACGACGGGTTAACGTTCGCATCCAGCGGGTGCTGATATCCCAAAATAGGTAGTTGTTGGTAGATGACAGGTTAACGTTCGCTTCCAGTGGGTGCTAATATCGCAAACTGGGTAGTTGTTGGTAGGCGACGGAATAACGTACGCATCCAGCGGATGCTGATATTGGAGACTTGGTAGTTGTTGGTAGATGACAAGTTCATGTTCGCTTCCAGCTAGCTGATATCACAGACTAGGTAGTTGTTAGTAGATGACAAGTTAACGTCCGCTTCCAGCTAGCTGATATCACAGACTAGGTAGTTGTTAGTAGATGACAAGTTAACGTTCGCTTCCAGTGGGTGCTGATATTGCAAACTAGGTAGTTGTTGGTATACGACGGGTTAACGTTCGCATCCAGGGATGCTGATATCGAAGTAGTTGTTGATAATCCTTCTTAAAGGGATTGTAATGGTATGGGTTTAAGGTTTTAGGGTTTTTAGGGTTCTTTTATTTTTTATCTGTATCGGGGTAGTTAATGGCCTTTATTTTATCTGTGGTTCCTGTAATTATATGAATGTTTATCCTTAATACTCTTACTATCGCTTAACTGATATAATTTTCTGAAGGCCTTTGCGATAGTGACGTCATGAAACTTTAATTTTTGTGGAATTGAAAGACGCTGGAGACATCTGACTGAAAATTGGAATGGTGCACTTCGAAGCTATTTTTAACATGCTATAGCTTTGCTCGACTATAAGAATGGTTAATCTCGACAGCAGTGTAGTTCTTTAAATGTATTTATCTCCCCTTAACTTTGTAAAAACATCGAAGATTGATTGATTTAGGGCAAGATTATAAATGTCAGAAATAATTGGCTAGAACCAGAAACTACATGATGCAAAATAAAATCTGACTGAATTGTCGATCTTTTTCCACGGTTCACTAAAAATTTAATTGTTTTTTTTATGTCTTTGAAACTAAGCGTTTATGATGTCACTATCGCAACGGGCATTATATGATATGATAGATCCGTCATAATAGTATAATAGGCTTAGTATTAGTGAAATTGCAACAACAAAAAGTGAAGAAAACCTCTTTACAACCCCTTTAATTCGAACTCACGTATCCATAAAGTATCTATCACTCTGACGTTATAAATTATAGGCTTGTATAACGTCACGATCAACAAAAGATAAATTTATGACGTTATGCAAACTTTGACAAGCGCCTGTCAATTCCGTCAACCAAATTGACAGGTGTCAATCAAAACACAATTGATACCCCACTATTGATTGTACTACAATACTAAAAGTATAGAGACCATGGTAAAGAGTCGTCGAGATTTGAAATTTCGTGTTAAATAATTCTCTTTTAACAATATTTCTCTCTGAATACCTAAGATACCTTATAACGAAATAAACAAAAATTCGACAACGTGTGAGCTACAATTCTTTTTTATCAAAATGTGTCCCAAGTCACGGATTTTCCAGTAGTTCCGACTGTGCATAACGACTATGATATAAAAATATATTAAAGAATAAAGACTGTAAATTACACTGCCTTATTAACCTTTTATTTCAATGGACCATTTCTTCTTATTCTAGTTCCTCAAAATTTCAACAATAACAACCTTTTCCGCCAAAATAACAACAATCAGCGATGGCGGCCTGGCAACAGACGACAAAACAACATGGCTCTGAATCAATTACGAAATCAACGTCGAAATGGACTACTGAATACTCGATTGAGGCAGCCGAATTCAGCTCCCGCCATGAACGTTCTGGGAGGCACCGAGCAGCAGGCGTTAAATACCATGAGCCCGTTACAGAACAGTGGACAGAACTTGGTTACCAACAGATTCTCTGGCCAGCAAAGTAATTTAAATGTCCTCAGAAATCGAGGATTGAATCAATTAAGAAACACCAACCAACGAGCTGGAACTTTGAACAACAACCTGCGACCAATGCAGAGAAATTCTCTAAACCGTAACCTAAATCTCCGTACCACTTCGTTACCCAACCTGGCACAGAACGACTTGCTGCAACGAAATTCGCTTCTTTTGGGCCAAAATCGAAATTTGAATAGATTGAACACTCAAAACAGAGCTCCACAAACACAAAATATGAACAATCTAAGGAAAATTGGCAACAATGTTATGAACCGACAGCAAAATCTCAGAAATATGAACCAACAAACAAACCTCAATGGTATGAACCAACATCAAAACCTCAATGGTATGAACCAACAGCAAAACCTCAATGGTATGAACCAACAGCAAAACTTCAATGAGATAACTCAGAAGCAGCAAGTCCTCAATGGAATAAACCAACAGCAAAACCTCAATGGTATGAACCAACAGCAAAACCTCAATGGTATGAATCAACAGCAAAACCTCAATGGTATGAACCAACAGCAAAACCTCAATGCGATAGATCAGCAGCAGCAAGGCCTCAATGGAATGAACCAACAGCAGCAAGGCTTCATTGGTATGAACAAACAACAGCAAAACCTCAATGGTATGAACCAACAGCAGGGCTTCAATGGGATAAATCAGCAGCAACAAGACTTCAATGGGATGAACCAACAACAAGAACCCAATGGTATTAATCAACAGCAAGGCCTCAGTGGTATGAACCAACAGCAAAACCTCAGTGAAACGAAACAACAGCAGCAAGGTCTGAATGGTATCAACCAAAAACAGCAAGGTCTCAATGGTAGTTACCAACAGCAGCAAAGTCTCAATGGCATTAACCAACAACAGCAAGGCCTCAATGCTGTGAAGCGACAACAAGGCCCCGATGGTATAAATCGACAACAGCAAAGCCTCGGTGGTATGAACACACAACAGCAAGGCCTCAATGGTATGAAGCGGCAACAGGAAGGCTTCAATGCTATGAACAGACAACAGCAAAATCTTAATGGTATGAATCAACAGCAAGGTTTTATGAACCAACAGCAAGATCTTATGAACCAACAGCAAGACCTTATTAATATGAACCGACAACAAGATATCAATGGCATTAATCAACAACAAGGCCTCAATGCTATTAACCAACAACAAGACCCCACTGGTGTGAATCAACAGCAAGGCCTCAATGATATGAACAAACAACAGCAAGGCCTCGATGATATGAACAAACAACAGCAAGGCCTCAATGGTATGAATCAACAGCAGCAAGGACCCACTGGTATAAACCTACACCAGCAAAACCTCAATAATATGAACTCACAGCAGGGCCTCACTGGTATGAACCAACGACAAGGCCTCAGTGGTATGAACCAAAAGCAAGCCCTAAAGGGTATGAACCAACGACAAGGCCTCAGTGGTATGAACCGACAACAGCAAGACCTCAGGGGTATGAACCAACAGCAAGACCTCGGTGGTATGAACCAACAGCAGGGCCTCAAGGGTATGGACCAACAGCAAGACCTCAATGGATTGAACCGTCAACAAGTCTTCAATGACATGAATCAACAGCAGATCTTCAAGGATATGAACCAACAGCAAGACCCCAAGAGTATGAGCCAACATCAAGGTCTCAATGGCATGAACCAACAACAGCAAGGCCTCGGTGGTATGAACCAACAGCACGGCCTCAATAGTATGAACCAACAGCGAGACATCAATGGTATGAGCCAACAGCAAGATCCGAATGTAATGAACCAATCGCAAAATACCAATATAACGAATCAACAACAAAACCTCAATGGCATGAACCAGCAGCGGGACGATCTCAGCGGTATGATCCAACAACAAGACCCTAATGGTATGAACCAACAGGAAAACCTCAATGTTATGAACCAACGGAAGCAAAATCTAAATGATATGAACCAACAACAGCAAGTCACAACTGGTACGAGCCAACAACAGCAAAACCTCATTGGTATGAACGAACAGCAGCAAGGTATTAATGGTATGAACCAAGAACAGCAAGGTTTCAATGGCATTAACCAACTGCAAAACCTCAATGGTATGAACCAACCACAACAAGAGCTCAATGGTATAAACCGACAACAGCAAGTGCTCAATGGTATAAACCGACAACAGCAAGCCTTGAATGGTATGAACCAACGGAAAGGTCTCGATGGTATTAACCAACAGCAAAATCTCAATAATATGAAGTCACAGCAAGGTCTTATTGGTATGAAACAACAACAACAAGATATCAATGGTATGAACCAACAACAGCAAAACCTTATCGGAATGAACCAACGGCAGAACGAATTCAATGGTTTGAACCAACAGCAAGACCTACAAGTTATGAACCAAGAGCCAAAACAAGGCAATAGAATGGTACAACAGAGAAGTCAAAGGCAGAACCAAAGGGAGAGAATTGCTGAAATGGCTGTGGAACAAAGAGGCTTAAATCAACAGATGGAACAATTTAGCAATAACAGAGGCCAAAACAACGATCCTAACACTTTCCAAGATCCCCAAATGGCAAGCGATACAGTACAAGAATTTCCAATAGGTCCTTCCAGATATCCCTTGGATACAAGCGTTGTGAACAACTCACAACTCACTCAGAATAAGAATCTTCAAAAACCTTCTGATACTCAACTGTCTGGATCGGCAACTGGAAATCTGCTGGACGTGCGATTTGAGAACGGAGGAACGAAAGATAAGCCCATTTCGTTATCCAACAACCCATCCAGGACACCCGAGAACGTTCAAGTAAACATTGGAAACAGAGCACCACCAGTCAATCGACTAGACAATGCATTCGACTCGGCAAATTCTCAAGTCAAAGATTCTATATCATTCCCATCATCTAGAGATGCGGTTGGATCTCAAATTCCAAATCTACCAGAAAAGACGAGTCTGGCCAGAGAAGCAGTCAGCACGCTAACGCTTGACCAATCCGCCAATGGTGCTGGTCTGAAAAATGTTGTTGAATCCCTTCAACCAGCAGGACCTAGAGACAATACCACACTGGAAAGCAAAGCATCAGTTCAGGAAACAAAAACAGCGCCCATTGAGATTATGGTGATTGATCCAAACCAAATTAATAGACTCTCAAATAGAGCTGATCCTAATGGAAGGTATCGGGAGATGTATATGCCGGTACAAAACGGTCCACGAGAGCTCCAACCTTTCGTGCATAATCCATATTACCAAGGACCAGCTATGACAGAATATGACATGATGAGTAGATTCGAGTTTTTCCATCCAGGAGGTGGTAATACATCACCAAATTTAACTTCAAAGGATGCTAAAGCAACAAAGAAGCGCGTTGCTGAAGCTCAAGGTTCACAACCCGCCCGAGATAGCTTTCAGAGAGGTCCTTTGGCCACTTCAGCACCAGAATTAACCTCGCTTCCTGTAGATACACCCAAGCTTCGCAGTCCAGAAAGACCGAGTTTTGACCCTCGCAGCGCAGAGGCCAGGTCACAAAATGGCTATATAGAAATTACAAGCAAAGCTGATTTACGTCCATCTTCAAAAATCAACACACAAGATTTGCCTGGGAAGCCACAGCGAAAGGTTTTCATCAAATCTGGAAAACAGGAGAAACGACCACAGCTCCAAACCGTTAATATTGATGCTAGACCAAAAATAACTGATGCAAGGAACCCAATTGATGTCCTACATCAGACCGAAAGACAAAGGCCTGTTGGGGAACCTATGATAGACTCCAGAGGTATCCAAGAACACTATCAATCCCAATGGAGACATACACAAACATCACCTAAACAGAAGGACCTTGCTCAAGCGGATCCAAAAATAGCATCTGCAAAGTCTAATCCAGATCTCCAAGCGGCCACTGACAGATTACAAAATACTCCAGTTGAATCACAGTCTCCACAAACTTTTCAAGAGACTCAACGAGAAAGGTTGAACTTCCCAGGGACACAAGAACGGCATCGCTACCAAGAGCTCAAAAAAGAGAGTCCCAAAGATCTTGCTTGATTCAGCAATGAAGAAAAATCCTTCAGCTCCAAAGTCACCGGCGCCAGTTTATCCTGAGAGACCACGTCAGCAATGGGAACGTTACGACCCCCCAACACGAAATGCCGGAACAGCTTCTGCAACAGGAAACAAACCCTCAAGCAGAGGTATACATTCTACCGCAGTCCCATACGAAATATTCATTGCTACGACACCCCGACCAACTGCACAAGCCTTTCATCAACCGATAATTCCCGATATAAGCGTCAACAAAGACCTTTCCAACCCGTCTACAATTTTAGACCCAAAACTTCCTGGTTATACGGAAGGGGGATATACTGATGCATTCGGTCATTTCTATCCCTTTCAAACAAA